AAGAGGTTGCTGTGAAAAGGTCGGTGGTGTGGGTGGAAAAGGCGGGGTTGTCTGGGTCCACGTGGGGCGCGTTGAGAACGATGAGGTCATTGGTGGTGGAGGAGGTGCTCCAGATGGATGCCAAAAGGGACGAGGGGTCGTCATTGCATAATGCATAGGGCCACGAAACGTCGGTACAGTTTGATGCCATGCACGGTGAGGTCGTCGAGGTGTGCGCGAACGATCAGGTTGTGTCGCAGGGACAACATTCGAATCCGGGCTAAATTGAGAGATCAGGTCCTGGGACGCCATGATGTAGACAGTAGCAACGGGATGCTCGGACAAGGATAATAGCAATAAGCCAACTGAAATTTGCGGTAAGGGTGAGAATGCCGTACGGAAGGGCAACATGCCCAGAGATGTGTGAAACATGATGTGACACGGTCAGGTTTGGGTGAAACATAAGGTGAAACATGACGTGACACGACATGCAGGCAGCGTTCGTATAAGTTTTGACGGAAGAAGTGGCAGTGAATACCGAATGTCGGGAGAAGCATTGTTACTCCAAAATGAGTCGGTCGGGGCCACTAGGCTCAATGGTTCTCTGCATTGGGGCACTCGTCGGATTGCAAAGTGCTCAGCAATGATGTAGTGCCTACCAGCGTGATCTGGAGTAGTCGTGTGCTGAAGTGTGGGATCGAGAATAGCCTTCGCGATGTTGGTCTCGAGAACGACCTTCACGGTACGATGAATAATTGCCGCGATGAGCATGCGTCGAGTCGTGCCATGTTGAGTTGTTGCTCCAGTAATGGCGATTGTGGTCCGGAGTTGTGTGATCTGTGGTTTCGTGGTGGGTGGTTGCCGATCTGGAATGGATGGTTGATGGTGGGTTGGAAGGCTCAGGTAAATCAGTGGCAGTAGTTGATGGTGCAGGTGGTTCTGGATCAGCTGGTGGGTTGTCAGGAAGTTCACTTGGTGCCGTGACCGTGGACGTGCGTACAGCTGGTGGAGTGCGTGTGATCAACCCATGGAAAACCGAGTGAGTGGAGGCGACGTAGCATACTGATGCAGCACTGGAGTTCATTGCCGTCGCACCATCTTTGCCCTTGGCAATCCCTTGTAGGTTGCACAAGCGTTGAATTTGGTCATTTCCTCCAGATAGGGCTCGCATGCATTTTGGGGAGCGACAAATGGCCAAAAGGCCAGATGGGTTTTGTCCTTTGCCAATTTTGTAGAGTTGGGATGTACATAGCTTGACTGAATATGCTGGCAGCTCATCAATGTCGGCGATCTCCGAGGACATGCCGAAGAATCCGTAGCACGGGTATTGGGTCGGGATGCCAGCTTCGTTTTTTGTCCAGCTTGCCGGGCGAATGCAGTCTTCAGCTAGAATTTTGGCAACTGATTCCCAACTCGTTTTATGATAGCTCATATATGTGCCTGCATGTTCTCCACGATAAATAGGTTTTTTGGGTAGTCCCGTTGGCACCGTGATGGTCAGCAGGTTCTCCGGCTCCACATAGAAGGCCTGTGTTCTCCTTGCAAGATTTAAATCCGGTAATCTTGCCTGTGCGAAAGCTCTGGCGATGTTCATGACAGTGGCTTGACTGGCCTTGATGAAAATGAGGTCGTTGTTCATGGTGCGGTATGGCTTGGCCAACTGAATGAACATCTCATCAACGAAATTGTTGAAGAGGATTTTGGTGGGCTGGTCAGGTACAGTACGAAGTGATACTGTATGATCAGGGTCCAGTTCTGTCAGGCATCGTACTCGATGTGGATCTTCAGCGGCCGAGATAAGTTCGCTGACTTCGATATCATTTTTGTCAAACTGTGAAATTGAAAATGCTTCTGCTGCATCTGAAGTTTCGCTGTCACCATCAGGTAGACGAAGCCACGGCTCCAAGTGGTGCTGTTGCGTGTGCAGGTGGGTTTGATGGTGGATCAGGAGGTGGTGGTCTCACAGGGGATCTGGGTCGGGTGGAGTCACGATGGTGGTCTGTTGGATAGTGGCTGTTGGTCCAATCGCCCCAAGAGTCATCAGCATCTGGTGTGGGAATGAAATTCGGATCCGAAGGACATGCTGCTGGTCGTAGTATAATCTCATGGCCTCGAGGAGAACGAAGAGGAGTTCTGGAACGAGGCGGAGGGTTGGACCGAGGACGTTGATGACCTGTTGGTGAGCGTCGTCTTGGCGGTGACCGTCGTCGGTCAGGGGAAGGTGTTCGGCGATCTTTGGGATGTTTGGTTGAGGATCGATGTCGAGGAAGAGGAGAACGAGGTCGGTCTGCACGGCGATGAGGAGGTGGTCGGCGATGAGAATGTGTAGTGGATCGTAGGGAGCGTGATCTTCGAGTCCTGGATCGGGGTCTTCGCAATGGTGGTGTCGACGACCGTGGAATGGGTGCTGGTGGAATCGAAGAAGTAGTATTGTGATCAGGGGCTGCAGGTTCAGTGGGTCTGGCCTTCGCGGCGGGTGGAGGCAGTGGTGTATAGGCGGCTTTGGGTTGGGTGATGGCATCGGAGGAGTGGGGCCAATTGGTGGTAAATCTTGGTGAAGAAGTTGTTGTCGTTGTTCTTGAAGGCGTTGGGAGTCAAGGATCATCTGCTGTTGAGCTTGAATGAGACGGACAGATTCTGCGAGTTGTTGTGTTGTAGAGCCCAACGTTGCCACTTCTGCTGAAATAGACGGTGGAGGCGTAGACGCTGGATCTGGAGGTGCAGCGGGAGGTGAAGCCGAAGAAGCCTTTGGAGCTGAGCGGCGTAGTTTGTCAGGTTTCTTTTCTGATCGAACCTTTGGGGCTGCTTTGACTGGCGTGTGATGAGGTGCAGCTGGAGGAATTGTCGATGTCGTAGTAGCCAATGGTGGAGATTGAAGAACACGAGGTGGGTAAGGTGAGCCTGGTAGAGGTGTAGGTGGTGTGGTCGGTGTGTGAGATGGAGTTGGAGCAGTGCGCCATGTTGTCGGAAATGTGGGTGCCGTCGAAGTTGCAAAAACTGGTAGGTTGGTGTGCAAGGTAGTTGTATCAGGACCCAAAGGTGGAGTTGTAGTAGGGACAAGGTGTGGAGCTGGTACTGCATGAGGGGCTGTTGCAAGGGAAGCAAATGACAGTGGCGGCATAGTGGAAGCTGTCGGCTGGGGCGAAGTCGAAGAAGGCCACGTAGGATGTAATGCCGAAGGTTGTCCAAACAAATGTTCAACTGGCGTTGGCGTGGTTCCGGACATGTGAGGTGGATTGATCAAACACTGTTGTGTTTCAATAGGGTATGCAGGTTGAGCAGTTGAGGTCGGAGGTGGTGCTGTCGTTGGCCATGTCGTAGGTGGTCTGGGTGTAGATGCAATAGAAGCTGATTGCGGTGGCCACGTCGAAGATGGAGTCGCAGACTGCGGCGGGGTAGGCCATGACGTCGGAGGAGTAGTCCACGGGTACATCGCTCAGGTAGAGAATAACTACAATGGAGAGTCGCGCAACAAGATTCACAAACAGGATTCAGTTCCTAAACCTAAAGGTCGTGCGATTGTGCCACAACAGGCCCGTGTTCCAGTCAGCCGCAAGGGCATGAAAACAGCTGTCAAGTTCCAACGAATTAGATGCACAATATGCTTCACCTCACCAGAGAACCAAAAGGAAAGAAAACCACACTTGCAAGTCGTGTGCCTGCCTGGTACTCGTGTCATGACATGATGCAATGTAGCTGCAAAAGTTGCTGCAAAAACGGAGGTTTCTGGCAGTTCGGAGTGAATTCACGTTGAAAGAAAGGCAATTTGGCGAGGAACCCTAGGACAGCCGGAGAAGCGAGACTCATTGAAAACGGTGGAAAACGGAAAGGCCAACTGTTTCGATTTACTTAAACTAATTACCAACTTAAAATGTGTGAATTCAGAATTCCGGTCAGTCGACATTCACCCTGAAAAGGGTTGCCTCAATTGGCCCTATGGCACCATGTCGGAGTCACCATAGGAATCACACTAGACAAGAATGGATCATTATATGATCCGGCAGGAACTGAATCCTGAAACATGCAGATTAGATACGAAACAAAGAAATTAACGATGCAACCTACGAATAGTAGAAGTTCTCCTGAATGATTTCCATGTCCAAGAACGTTATCAATAAAATACATCGGCAACGTGGTTTTGATGAAATACCCCAAATACATCGGCGACTTCGGCGAAATAATCCAGAAAATCAAAAATACTGTCGGCGACATGGTTTCGGCGAAAATACTGAGGAAGGTTCTGATGCAGCTGAACTAATCGTAAATGACCAACATTGATTCCAGATTGCGACAACAGTGCAGCAACATGACAGCTTGTTCAACAGTTCAAACTGAGTTCTGCAGGTACACATCAGGACGTCTCCCGATGCATCACCAGAGAATGTGGGCGTCTTCGTTGGCAGTGATCCCACAGACTCTGTCACTGCCCCCTGCTTACTAGGTAGGAACGAAATCGAAGTTTTACATCTTTACAGATGAGACACACACACACATATATATATATATATGTACATATATATATCCCCTAAGAAGGCTTTGATAGCAAAACACATAGACACCGCAACAAAACTCAAGAAAAGTGCACCGAACACATCAGAGGTCGCCCGTGTTTAGGGGGTAGGCACGACTTCTTACGTTAACTTCTCTGCAGCTAATTCTGGTCTTCTGCAGCCCGTGGGTGCGACATTGTATAAACCCGCAGAAAGAGCTGTGGTATGAAGGTTCCTTCATTTGAATGACGCTAGCAGCTTCGAACTTTTCTTTTAGACTATTACCCGTGTTGATTCCACAGGTGCCGTTGTCCTCCAGACATGTCTCAGATTCGTATCGTGCAGGGATTGTTTTGGCTAGAGATCCAAAAGGTGCGAGCCCGATTTCATCCCCTGGCGGGGTTGGTGAGTTTCCGCATTTACATGTTTTTATGTATACATATATATATCTATCTCTCTCTCTCTGTGAATATTCACATATAGAATCAAAACTGCTACGTGCAACTGCTGCTGTTGAGTCTAACATCTGTCCTCAGGAACTTCGGCTTCTTCTGCTACAGAAACTCTTTGACCACTGCTGCTGAAGCCTTCGGAGCCGCTGTGCAATGAAGCGCAGTGACTTACCCAGAGGAGGCCTTGAATCCCCTCTGAGACGTGCCAAGTGCTGCAAATCTGCAGCTTGGGTGGCATCAACTGGATCTGATCAAATGAAGAGGTTTGGTTCATCTTGTTGAATGCTGCGTCGCATGTGCTAAAATGCTCCTTGTTTTTTCCCACGCCCTCTGCTTTTCCATCAAGAGGCTGCGGAGGCTTGAAGTTTCATCGTGCCAAACTGTTTGGCCCCTTGGCCGGACCAACCACCCTGACCTCCGGACAGGCAGATGAGATCCGCAGATATGTTTGCCTTCCATCACTTTACCCCAGCCTCTGGACAGGCTTGCCCACTGCTTCACCCAAACTAGGCCACTGCGTTTGCTGCGCATCGAATTCTGGCTCTGGCTCCTGCCAATCCTGGTCCTGTCCACAGGTATGTTGTCCAGAACATGCTGGCAACCATGCGCAAAGCATTCCGACAGAAAGTGTGCTGCCTCCCATTTTCCCCATGAGTTTGAGGAATCCCATCTATCAGATCTATCACCAGCTCGCCAATGCCTGACAGCTGCAAGCTCAGCATCAGTAAAAGAGCAGTACTGCAGCTGTCTGCATGCTACCGTAAGCGAGTGCCCACCAATGAAATTAAACCCGCGACAAGCCTGCTCTGGTACTGCCACCTCTTGTCTTTCTGCTGATGTGCTGTCATTCCTGTCTTCCACACGAACAAGGAAAAAACACAAGAGTGACTGTCACATGAACAGGATGTTTTCCCCAGCCCTGATAACCACACATACGCATGGAATCGCATGGATGTTGCATGAGCATTGGCTCAGGTCCTGCAATGCGCTCTTTTTGATTGAAAGTCAGGTCCTCTACGACGTGCTTGGGTCGCCAATGGTCCTTGTGTAGGGCATTTCTAAGCTTCGACCCTGGAACAAAGTCATGACTCAAGACAAAGCATCCTGCACATCTGATCCAAAAATTCCAAAGACACACAACACCGTGAAGTTTGTCCAAGTGATGTTTTGGACCTGACTGTTTGATAAATGTATCGGATGTATCGCCTGTTTGTTAAATGTCTGTTGGCAATCTTTCGACTTCCAAGCTTCGTCCCATGGAGCCAGCTTGGCTTGGCGGATAGCAGAGTGAACCAAAAGTTCGACCTTCAGGGTCTCAGCAGTCATCTCTTGGTCCTAGGGTCCTAGTTTTCAGACCTCAACTGATAAGACTTGGAATGATTCGAATAGAATCGAATAGAAGGTCGTACACTTCCAATCTGCCTGCGCAAGTGGTGTCTGCCGGAAGTGCTTTACTGTGTTGCGGATCTGAACAGCAGCCAGACGAAGACTGTGCGGCAATTTGAAACCATCTTCCTCAGGAATTGGTCTGCCGGACGCAGATCAAATTCAGGTGTGCCTGAATATAGCCCCAGGATCATTTTCGATCACCCTTTTTTTCTACTCTGATTTTTGATCCCCCTAGAACTCAGGTGGGCGAGGGGAAGCGAAAGGGGGCCGGACTCAAGGGAAATATCACGTATTAATAAAGAAGATTGTGGGGGGATACGACCCTTTAGTTTTGGGGGGGACAATCATGGAACCATAGGAGGGCTTAGAGGGGATCAGCAACGAACCAAAAGCCAAGAGGATGGGTGAGAGGCGAGAGGTGGCTATAGGAGGGGTAAGAGGAGCCAGGGGCAAGAGTGAGAGTGGCCGGCAAAAGGAGGGCGGGGCGAGAGGAGGGCGAGAGGAGGACGAGAGGCAAATACACCGCCCTCACTCAAAGGCAATTGCAAAAAGGAAAAAGCGCATAGAAATACAAAAAACTGATCCACAAATCAAGGCAAGACTAGCTGACCAAATTTGTAGGCAAGGCACTTTGCAAGCCTCATCAAAAACATTCCAATCAGCATCCGGCACCTCATCACCTAAGCTACTGAATACAATAAATTCCATCAAAAAACAGCATTGCGACACCCACATTCGCCCACATTTGCAAGCTACAGCAGCACCTGCAGTAACTGAAATCACCAAAGTCGAATCTGCATTTCGGAACATGTCATCGTCATACAGTACATGTCTGTGCGTGTTTTTGCGTCTGCGCACGGCACCTTTGGATTGCGCTGGGTCGAGGAAGCTGATGAAGTCTGATGGTGTCTGACGGGCCAACATTAGCAAACATTTGGCTTGCAAAGAATGGGCAAGGGAAATAGGAAAGGAATCCCAGGAAAACTACTGTAAGCCACGGAAAGCAGACCATTCTGGAATGGCCGACCAATGATTCGTATCACTACTGTGACAACGGCTGCCTGGGCCAAAAATATAATCGGTTGTGAGCCCTTGCCATCTGGCGGAAGAATATGGTACCTTGGTTCATCAGGAAAAGTGCCTCCTCTACTGTGCAGTGAAATGCACTGAAGAGACAGGGGTTCGAAAGAATCTGGCAATACCCGTGCAAATTCAATAACCAAGCTGCGTTCCTGGAGTCTTTTGGGCACACATCGTCTGGATCAAGTCCGCTCGAAGCTCTTCTGTTTTTCCTTCTGGCAAATGCTCTGTGAATGCCCGCTGGACCTATCAGGGGTTTGGGGATTTGCCTTCCAAAAGCTTGTGCAATGGCGATTGCCCAAAATACTGGGCAAGCAAAATCAGTGATCAACCCGAACCTCCGGAAGTCTTGGACAAATGCGATTGAAGTATGAACCTTAGGAAACCACTAGAGTCTTGGAAAATGTCAGTATCAAGATTTGATGACACAGTCCTAACCTGCAAGCACACGATAAAACTGCACCCTTCTGCACGCTTTCCAGGGTTTCATCGAGGAAGCTTGCAATGGCTGCGCGAATCTCCTGATGGAAAAGCTCCCACAACTCCTGGCAAAGAAACAAGATGCAACCCTCGAATGCAGTCACGTAGAACACTTTTGTGAAACAAGTTATTTGAACAGTCTTGTACATTTTTCCCCTGTTACCCTCCCAGCGCACTGAACTGTGGAATGCAGAAGAGGGTGGAGTGCAAAGTGTGGACTGTGGAGTGTAAAATGTGGAGTGTGGAGTGTAAAGTGTGGAGCCCGGAGTGTAAAGTGTAGAAGTGTGGGGTGTAAAGTGTAAAGTGCGGAGTGTGAAGCGTAGAACTGTCGAGTGTGGAGTGTTAAGTGTGGAGTGTGAAGCGTGGAAGTGTCGAGTGTGGACTGTAAAGTGTAGAGTGTGGAGTGTGAAGTGTGGAGTATGGAGTGTAGAGTGTGGAGTGTAGAGTGTGGAGTGTAGAGTGGGGATTATGGAGTGTAAAGTGTAGAGTGTGGAGTGTAAAGCGTGGAGTGTAAGTGTAAAGTAAAGTGTGGAGTGTGAAGTGTGGAGTGTAAAGTGTAAAGTATGGAGTGCGGAGTCTAAAGTGTGGAGTGTGGAGTGTGAAGTGTAGAGTGCGGAGTGTGAAGTGTAGAGTGTGGAGTGTGGAGTGTAAAGTCTAAAGTGTGGAATGTAGAGTGTAGAGTGTGGAGTGTGAAGTGTGAAGTGTGAAGTGTAGAATGTGACGTGTGGAGTGTAAAGTGCAAAGTATAAAGTGTAAAGTGGGGAGTGTCGCGTGTAGAGTGTCGAGTGAAGGGTGTGGAATGTTTAGTGTCAAGTGTAAAGCCTGGAGTGTAAAGGTGGAGTGCAGAGTGTAGTGTGTAAAGTGCAGAGTGTGAAGTGTAGAGTGTGGGGTGTAAAGTGCAGAGTGTGGAGTGTAGAGTGTGGAGTGTAGAGAGTGGAGTGCAGAGTGTGACGTGTAAAGTGTAAAGTGTGGAGTGTAAAGTGTGGAGTGTAGGGTGTGGAGTGTAAAGTGTAAAGTGTAAAGTGCGGAGTCTAAAGTGCAAAGTGTGGAGTGTAAAGTGTGGAGTGGAAAAGTGTAGAGTATACTGTGTGGAGTGTAAAGTGCAAAGTGTGGAGCGTAAAGCGTGGAGTGTGGAGTATAAAGTGCAGAGTGTGGAGTGTGAAGTGTAAAGTTTGGACTGTAGAGTGTGGAGTGTGAAGTGTAGAGTTTGGAGTGTGGAGTGCAATGTGTGAAGTGTAGAGTGTAAAGTGTAGAGTGTAGAGTGTGGAGTCTTAAGTCTAAAGTGCCGCGTGCAAAGTGTAAAGTGTGGACTGTAAAAAGAAAAGTGTGGAATGTGGAGTGTAAAGTGTGGAATGTAAAGTGTGGAGTGTGAAGTGTAAAGTGTGGAGCGTGAAGTGTAGAGTGTGGAGTGTAGAGTGTGGTGTGTAGAGTGCGCAGCGTCAAGTGTAAATTGTAAAGTGTGGGGTGTAAAGTGTAAACTGGGAGTGCGGAGTGCGAAGTGTGGAGCGTAAAGTGTAAAGTATGGAGTGCGGAGTCTAAAGCGCGGAGTGTGGAGTGTGAAGTGTAGAGTGTGGAGTGTGGAGTGTGGAGTGTAGAGCGTGCAGTGTGGAGTGCAGAGAGTGGAGTGCAGAGTGTGACGTGTAAAGTGTGGAGTGTAAAGTGTGGAGTGTAGAGTGTGGAATGTGGAGTGTAAAGTGTAGAGTGTGGAGTGTAAAGTGTGGAGTGTGGAGTGTACAGTGTAAAGTGTGGAGTGTAAAGTGTAGAGTGAGGAGTGTAGAGTCTGAAGTGTAAAGCGTGGAGTGTGAAGTGTAAAGTTTGGAGTGTTAGTGTGGAGTATAAAGTTCAGAGTGTGGAATGTGGAGTTTTAAAGTGTGGAGTGTAAAATGCGGAGTGTAAAGTGCAAAGTGCGAAGTGTAAAGTGTAAAGTGGGGAGTCTCGTGTGTAGAGTGTGGAGTGTAGAGTGCGGAGTGTCGAGTGTGGAGTGTACAGTGTAAAGTGTGGAATGTACAGTGTAGAGTGTAAAGTGTAGAGTGTAAAGTGTAGAGTGTAAAGTGTAGAGTGTAAAGTGTAGAGTGTGGAGTGTGCAGTGTAGAGTGTAGAGTGTGGAGTGTGAAGTGGAGTGTAAAGTTTGGAGTGTGTAGTGTGAAGTTTAGAGTGTGGAGTGTAAAGTGTGGAGTGTGGAGTGTAAAGTGTAGAGTGTAAAGTGTGGAGTGTAAAGTGTGGAGTGTAAAGTGTAGAGTGTAGAGTGTAAAGCGTGGAATGTAAAATGTGGAATGTAAAGTGTGGAGTGTAAAGTGTAGAGTGCGGAGTGTAGAGTGTAAAGTGTGGAATGTAAAGTGCGGAGTGTGAAGTGCAAAGGGTGGAATGTGGAGTGTGGAGTTTAGAGCAGGCAATGCGACAGGTCTGAAGGGCTGCGCCTGCCACGCAAAATGACGGCAGAGATCTCCAAAATGCTGCGACTGCCACGAAAACTGCAACTCATCTTGGGAAAACGACGCGAAAGTATTGCGCCTGTTTTCAAACAGGTTGGAGTGTCACAAAGTGCCGCGCCTGCCACGCAAAACGACATGACAACCTGCTTGGAAACCTTCGAAAAGGAGAGGTTTTGCAGCTTCCCCCATAGACACGGCGAGGCCACAGGAAAACCAGAGACTCGAGACGAGACACGTGGGAGCATCAAAACGAGCATTTCGTGCGAGACTTCCTCCAATTTTCACACTTTGTAGCTTCAAAATCGACGTTTTCCTACGAGTTTTCTTAGGAACCTCTAAATTTGCTACCTCAAAATCGATGTTTCGTGTGAGGCTTCTGTCAAGTTTCATCACATCTTACAAATGCCACGCTTGCCACGGAATATGCACCTTGTCGCCACTTGACGCAGCCCTGCCAATGCGATTTGCAATAAACGCACAACACGACACGTCTAAAGTGCTGCGCCTGCCACGAAAAATGACGATGGACACGTCCAAAGTGCTGCGCCTCCCATGAAAACTGCCACGCATCTTCTGCAAACGTCGCAAAGGTATTGCGCCTGCCACACACACACTGTGGGATATATAGATTCGATCGTAGTGAGGTGAAGTAAAGGAGCACCACCAATTCCTGAATAGAGGGCCTGAAACGGATCCTGGGACATGAGGCATGAATTATGAAATATGAAAAATGAATTCCGGTTCTCAGCTTAGCCGGATGCTATATCAAAGTTACTTAGTTTCCGGTTCTCAGCTTAGCCGGTTGCTATCCTCTGATGCAGGTACGCTGGGTTGATCAGACCCAGTATCCCATGATTGTGGTAGCTTCGTTGAGTGCGGTCCCACAATCATGCCGCACTCCCCTGCCAAATCAATATTTAGACTGCATGTTATTAGCAGTGTACACACACACATGGCCTCTCAGTATGAGAGGCAGATCAGTAAATGGGGCAAAACCGCAAACTGCCTATAGTTTTTTACCTAAGAAAACTGACCTAAAGAGCCTGCCTAAGAGAATGAATATCTGGCCTAAAAGAACCTGATGACGATGACGAGTGATGTGAAAAGCAAAAAGTTACTTTCAACGCAACAAGGGGAGGGTTGCAACAACAGAATTTTCCAACTGAATCGGCCAGTTTTCTCAAATGCCTCTCCAGGGAAGATATTCGGGTCTGCTCACTGGGGAATGAACTTAACGTGTGGTTTTCTTTGGTTCAAGTGACACCCATGACTGTCATTTGATCTGTCAAATCAAACCACATCTCCATGGTTTCCAGAAACCTAAGGAGCCTGCCTAAGAGAGTGAATACATAGCCTCAACAGAACCTGATGACGATGATGAGTGATGTGAGAATTAAAACGTTGAACCATGTTCTATACCTAGTAAATCTGACCTAAGGAGCCTGCCTAAGAGAATGAATACATGGCCTCAAAAGAACCTGATGACGATGACGAGTGATGTGAGAAACAAAACGTTAAACATGTTCTATACCTGGAAAAACAAACCTAAGGAGCCTGCCGAAAAGAATGAATACATAGCCTAAAAAGAACCTGATGACGATGACGAGTGAGGTGAAATTGCTACTGAGACTCCAACCACATGTACTGGAAGAAGTGCGCATTCAGAGTACTTCGTCATGTGACAACTTCTCCCTTGTGGGTACTTCGCCAATTGGGCTAAACTTCGCCTTATGGCTGTCAATTTGTGTTGAACGAACTGCAATGTCCACCTTGACATTGTCTACTTCTTTTGCATGTAATATGCAAAGGGGACTTCAGGATGTTGGCGACATCCCCCTCTGCAACCGGGAAAATGCCCGGTCATAACTTTCATATCCGTCGAAACGGACAGACGGTACTACCAAGTGAGGTAAAGTACCCAAAACACACTGTGGGATATATAGATTCGATCGTAGTGAGGTGAGGTAAAGGAGCACCACCAATTCCTGAATAGAGGGCCTGAAACGGATCCTGGGACATGAGGCATGAAATATGAAAAATGAATGCCGGTTCTCAGCTTAGCCGGATGCTATATCAAAGTTACTTAGTTTCCGGTTCTCAGCTTAGCCGGTTGCTATCCTCCGATGCAGGTACGCTGGGTTGATCAGACCCAGTATCCCATGATTGTGGTAGCTTCGTTGAGCGCGGTCCCACAATCATGCCGCACTCCCCTGCCAAATCAATATTTAGACTTAGACTGCATGTTATTAGCAGTGTACACACTTGCTCAGAAACAACATTGCGAATTTTGTTGTGGAATGCATCACACGTGCACAAAACAATCCCTTACAAACTGCCAGGAAAAATTAGTTGATCCAGCGTGAATTTCAGTGCGAAGTAAGCTTTCTACGTCCTTGCTCTGAGGAAGGTTCTGATGCAGCTGAACCAGTTGTAAATAACCAAATAAATCCAGATTGCGACAACAGTGCAGTAGACAACCCTCAAGTGGAAAATATCGACGTGCCGGTTCTTGGCGGCGTCCCAATCTGTATCACCAGATCAAATGGGTGTCTTCGTTGGTAGCGGTCCCAAATGATCTGCCGCTACCCCCTGCTTTATAAAGGATGTTTAGAAGTTTTACGTCTTTTCAGATGGTCCACACACACGCCTCGCTGCCGCGAGGCTGTTTTGGCAACTGAGGTCCCGACAATGAGATGAAAATGAAGAAAAAGGGAAATGAAAATGAGGTGAAGATGACAATGAGATGAAAGTTACTTAACCAGGACGCAAAGAGGGGAACGCAAAAGAAGAGGGAAAGAGCAAACACCAACACATGAAACCTAGCCCAGAACGGGCAACCCTGGAAAGGCAAGGGAAAAGAAAAGCGGAGGCCGACGGAAAACGGAACAAGACCAGCGGAGGAGGGGGAGGACAGAAGCGCCTGAACCAACCTGACACGGCGAAAACCTACAACAACCTCAGCACGCAACGGGCCAAACCTACCTGGAGAGAGGAGAACGCAAGAACACATGAAATAGGGACCCATGGGGAACTAGTTAATGACATGATGCATCCACAACGCATGCAGTATTCGTGATAAGGCTCAAAGGCCCTCGGCTTTCAAGTCACAACCCTCTGGACGGCTTACGTGTTCAACCCCTGAATTACGTGCACAATTGAACCTCACCAACGACCATCAAAAGAAAGAAAACCACACCTAAAGCATGTCCTGACGCCTCCACATGGATCCATGTCATGATGTATCTTGTCTGTCAAGCTCTCGAGCAACGTTGAAAAAGAAGGTTGTCGCAGCTTCAGGCTATGCAGTGAGAAGTCCACTGAAAAAATTGAAGCCCCACGGCGGCCAGTTGTTCAACCAAACGACAACGACAGGGTGAAAAGCGAAAAAAGGCCAGCAGTTCACTTTACTTAAACGAATTACTAATTCAAAAGTGTACATTCAGACATCGATTTACTGTCAATTGTTAGCCTGGAAAGGCTTTCCCCGAAGGGTTCCTGCCAACTTGACGTATACAGCAGGAATGACACACTTGCTCAGAAACAACATTGCGAATTTTGTTGTGGAATGCATCACACGTGCACAAAACAATCCCTTACAAACTGCCAGGAAAAAATTAGTTGATCCAGCGTGAATTTCAGTGCGAAGTAAGCTTTCTACGTCCTTGCTTCTTGAGGAAGGTTCTGATGCAGCTGAACCAGTTGTAAATAACCAAATAAATCCAGATTGCGACAACAGTGCAGTAGACAACCCTCAAGTGGAAAATATCGACGTGCCGGTTCTTGGCTTGGCCGGTTGCCATTGACGGAAATGAAAAACTGGTGCAGGTACGCAGATTGGCGTCCCAATCTGTATCACCAGATCAAATGGGTGTCTTCGTTGGTAGCGGTCCCAAATGATCTGCCGCTACCCCCTGCTTTATAAAGGATGTTTAGAAGTTTTACATCTTTTCAGATGGTCCACACACACACACAACGACGTTCGACGCATGACAAAACACGTCTGAATGTCACGAAGTGCCACGCCTGCCACGCGAAACGAAGCAACGCCACATGTGAAACCTCCGGGGATCGTGCGGACGGTTGCGGACGGTTGCGAACGGTTGCGGACGGTTGCGAACGGTTGTGGACGGTTGCGAACGGTTGGGCAACGTCGAGCAAACACACCCTCAACCCCCAGACCCCCAGAGTGAAACGGGAACCCTTGCTATGCATTCGGGAAAAAGAAAAGAAACTGATGGACACACTCTGGCGGCTTGGCGTTTAGAAACCCAGAGCTATCTTGGAGTCCTCGTCTTCACAAAGCTTTGGCGGCAACGGCTGCTTTTTGATGTACTCAAGATAGTTGTTGACGTGTTTCCTTGGTGCTCCGGAGCCAAAATTTCTCGCTGGGACGTCTCAATGACTGTCACAAATGTGTGTCGAAATCGGCACGGTGAAACATACACCCGTGCGCATTGCATATTCAGATGTGCACATGAGATATACACCATTATACATACGCACACACACACACGTAAACACAGTGGCCTGAATGTCTTCAAGCACATTGCAAATTCTCGGACTACAACTTTGCAGTAGACAAGAAGCTCTGTCGGCACGTCATCCAAATCAAACTTCAGGCCGACCCGCTTTAAGGTAGAGATCAAGTATTCGCCTCGGAGCGAAGCCGGCAAGAATTCCAAGTCACACAAAAGATCCTTGTAGACTTTATTTTACAACTCTAGGAGACTGCAGCTAAGATAGCTAAGCAACACTTTGGGCCTGAAGTTTCCTGCAAACACTTCAAGTAGCATATAGTCTCTGCCACGGCTAAGTGTTGCCATTGCTAACTGACCAGAAACCATCCTCTGTCATTTGGTCAAACCCATGGCAGCCTGGCTTGCATGCTTTGCAGGGATGTTGATTGCCATGGGCACCTGACAAGCTAAGTCCTCTAGGAAGCTCACGAAGTATATACTTCAAGCCAGCGAAAAGAAGTGACACTTGATAGTTGAGGATCAATACTGAGTCGCCTTCACATATCTATAAATATAAATATAAATATAAATATAAATAAATATATATATATACATCTCAGTAGGTTGTTGTGCCTAACGTACGCGAAACTCGAGAAAAACATTAGCACTGCTTAGCAATATGAAAATGCCAAAACAGGCATCTAAGGGCTAAGGGTCTCACAAATACACCTGCGTCTGCAGACAGTTGTGCTTCTGGTGGTTCCTCACTTTGAGATCAACCGCTGCGCAACAACCATACCGTCACGAACCCTTCCCAGTCACTAGTTCCACCCAATGAACCGAGGTTTCAACTGCAGTTATCGTCGTCTCTTCCCTGCCACGATACAATACAGTCTCATGAATACGTTGGCCATCGACTTTGACATGAGGTACACACGGTATGAAGTATGATCGCCTCGGTGCTTCTTCCTCGTCACTGTCTTCGAGATCACCGCCTGCCAAGAAAGATGCCTCAAAGAGAACGCTGCCGGACGCTGCCGAATGCGGGGCTTCAGGTAGCTAGGCGGTTGACTGAACTCTTGATCTCAACAACGAGGAGTTCTTGAAACGGGGACCATACTGTAGTAGGTATATATAGTAGGTACGCATACCTATGCATGTAAAACATGTTCCACTAAAAACCGGCGCATATACAACAACAAAGCAAAATGACAGGCTAAAGCATTTGGATCCAGTCGCTACAGCAGACTCGATGTGCCCTTTCAATGCTTTGTCATCATCCTGTAGGCAAGAGGTGCCAGCAGCTGCTAGCAGTGTCCCTCAAAAACCACGGCATGTGATGGTCAGTCTAATTCGTGGAGAGTCGTGGAGTGACGACATTGCCATGCACAAAATGCCATCCACACAAGGTTTTGAATTCTGAATAAATTGGAACAGGAGGCTCCAAGGCACCACCATTCCTCAAATTTGCGGCGGACATTTGGTCTGTCCTCATCTTCAACCTTTTCCGGAACGTCTTGCTTCAAGTGTGCCAGAAGGCTCAGAGCCACTGGATCTGGAGTGTCCTGCCCATGTTCACCTTCACAAATTACCGACCAATTACATGACGAAATGGGAGAAACATTCCAAAGTTTGAGAATCAGAGCCAGGAAATGACAAGAAATAAATATATATATATATATTATATATATAAATATATATAATCGCACCAACATCAAAAATTTGCTGAACATCTTGCTGTCCTTTTGAGCTGCAATGGTCGTATTGAAATCCTCCTCGCTCTGGCCTAGCTCCTGGCACGAATCCCTAAATGAATCACCGTAGGGTTATTTGAATCATCGCCTACCAAAGCAATTTCACCTTGATGACTTTGACATGCAAAGCTACTAGGTGAAGCCCTCCTCAGACGAAAGGCCAGGAGGTGCTCGGTGCTGCCACTGGCTCCACTGCTGATGGTACCACTCGGGGTGCGCCTCCGATCTCCGAACTGTGAACTCTGGGGGCGGGTTCAGCTGTTCAGACTGTCAGAAAGTGGACCTACAAAACGATCGTTTCGTGGTTACAACGCCTTCTGCGAAGGTGTTTGCTGAAGCGTGCACGCATCAATACTGCCACGATGGACTGAACACCTCACTAAAGCTATTCATGCCCACACACAGGGATATACAATAGGCCAACTTCGGATTCGGAAACTTCAACGTCGGATTCGGAAACTTGCGTGCCCATAGATTCGGAATTTATCCATGTACCTAATATATATATATATATATATATCTATCTATCTATCTATAGATAGATAGATAGATAGATAGGTAGATAGATAGATAGATAGAATGTGTATATTTAAATATATATATATATACATATTCAAAGCACAACCATTACGGGATTGGGGGGATGGGAACAAAAATGGGTGCAGTTTTTTTTTATTTTTTTCAGCCTGGGGCACTTTTCCTTGCTATTTGCTAGATTTTGGAGCAAAAACCTGTACTTTGCTGAATTTTGGAACTAAAATGTGCCATTTTGCACTGTCCATCGAATATTCCATGGTTTTCGCCGGTTTTTCCATGGTGTTCATGGATTTACCCAAATTTTTCATCGATTTTCCATACTTTTCGGTGAGCTTTCCATGGGTTCAATTGATTTTTCCATGGTTTCGATCGATTTTTCCATGGATAACATGCACTGGTGAACATGTAGAATATAGGTTGAGGCACAACCGTGTTGGGTCTAAATAGTGGCCTTGGATGCTATCATAGTGCTGGTGTTAAGGTTTATTTAGGGTTTGTTTAGGGTTATTTAGGGTTATTTTAGGGTTCGTTTAGGGTTTATTTACGGTTGGTTTAGTGTTTATTTAGGGTTATTTTAGGGTTCGTTTAGGGTTTATTTACGGTTGGTTTAGTGTTTATTTAGGGTTATTTAGGGTTGGTTTAAATTTATTTAGGGTTCGTTTAGGGATTATTTTGGTTTTGTTTATGGTTGGTTTAGGGTCATTTAGGTTATGTTTGGGTTTGGTTTACGGTTTATTTGGTGTTTGTTTATGGTTTATTTAGGGTTGGGTTAGGGTTTATTTACAGTTGGTTTTGGTTTATTTAGAGTTATTTAGGGTTGGCTTAGATTTATTTAGGGCTGGCTTGAGTTTATTTAGGGTTGGTTCATGGTTGGTTTAGGGTCATGTAGGTTATGTTTAGGTTTGGTTTAGGGTTTATTTGGGGTTGGTTTATGGTTTATTTAGGGTTTGGTTAGGGTTTATTTACAGTTGGTTTGGTTTATTTAGGGTTATTTAGGGTTGGCTTAGATTTATTTAGGGCTGGCTTGAGTTTATTTAGGGTTGGTTCATGGTTGGTTTAGGGTCATGTAGGTTATGTTTAGGTTTGGTTTAGGGTTTATTTGGGGTTGGTTTATGGTTTATTTAGGGTTGGTTTAGGGTTTATTTGGGTTTGGTTTAGGGCTGGTTTAGGGTATATTTAGGGTTGGGCTAGGGTTTATCTAGGGTGTGTTTGCAGTCTATTTAAAGTTTGGTATTCAGGGTTGGTTTGGGGTTATGTGGTCTAGGGTTTGCTTAGGGTTTTGTAGGGAATGTTATGTTGGGTTGGAAAACGGTTGGTTTAGGGTGATTTGGGGCTATTTATGGTTATTTAGGGTTGGTTTATCGTCGATTTCAAGTCTCTTGCGGGTTGGGTTAAGGCACATGTAGGGATACAAGGTGTGTATGTAAAGATAGATAGATTGATTGATTGATTGATTGGTTGATAGATTGATAGATTGATAGATTGATAGATTGGTAGGCAGATAGATAGATAGATAGATCGATGGATCGATCGATAGATCGATAGATAGAAAGATAGATAGATAGGTACATAGATAGATAGATGGGTACATAGATAGATAGATAGATAGATAGATGGATAGATAGAAAGATAGATAGATAGGTGCATAGATAGATAGATAGGTATATAGATAGATAGATAGGTACATAGATAGATAGATAGATGGATAGATAGGTAGGTAGGTAGGGAGATAGATGGATAGATAGACAGACAGACAGATAGATAGATAGATAGAATGATAGAATGATAGGTAAATGGACAGACAGAGAGGCAGATAGATAGATGGATGGATAGATAGATAGGTAGGTAGATGGATAGATAGATAAACAGATAGATAGATAGATAGATAGGTAGGTAGATAGATAGATAGGTTGACAGATAGACAGGTAGATAGATAGATAGATTAGGTTAGATTAGTTTAGATTAGGTTAGATTAGGTTAGGTTAGATGAGATTAGGTTAGATTAGATTTGGGATAGGTTAACTAGTTAGGTGAAATAGGTAGATTTAATAGACAGATGAAATAGGTAGATTAAACAGATAGATTCAACAGACAGATTAATAGTTTAAGTTTAAATAGACAGATTCAATTATGATTTAATAGACAGATAAAATGGAGATGTTAAATAGATAGACTAAATAGATAGGTTAAACAATAGATAGACAAACCAATAGATAGGTTAGATAGATTAGATTAAATAGATTAGATTAGATAGTTTAGAAAGGTTAGATAGATTAGGTACATGAGATTAAACATTATAATAAAACAAGAGAAAACAGGGTAAAATGAGATAAGATTAGATAAGATTAGATTAGATAAGATTAGATTAGGTTAGATTAGATAGACAGATAGATAAAGCATGGTAGCCACAAAAGCCACACACCCACAAAAGCCAAAGAAGCCACAAAAGCCACAAAAGCCACAAAGCCAGGCTGGAAAACAAAAAATTGAAGGACCGGATAACCCCACAAGTCAACTTCTTCCAATAATGAGCAACAAATGTTGTAGCGGGACGGGGAAGGAAGGAAAGACAAAGGAAGTGCTGAAGGATCGACAAGGTGTGTGACAAAGTTGTATGTGAAAGATGGTGCGTGACAAAGAAAAGATGGTGTGTGACAAAGTTGTGTGTGTGTGAAAGATGGTGTGTGTGTGTGCGAAAGTTGTGTGAAAGAGAGCGTGTGACAAAGTTGTGTGTGAAAGATGGTGTGTGACAAAGTGGTGTGTGAAAGGTGGTGTGGTGAAAGATGGTGTGTGATGGTGTGTGACAAAGTTGTATGTGAAAGATGGTGCGTGACAAAGAAAAGATGGTGTGTGACAAAGTTGTGTGTGTGAAAGATGGTGTGTGTGTGTGCGAAAGTTGTGTGAAAGAGAGCGTGTGACAAAGTTGTGTGTGAAAGATGGTGTGTGACAAAGTGGTGTGTGAAAGGTGGTGTGGTGAAAGATGGTGTGTGATGGTGTGTGACAAAGTTGTGTGTGAAAGATGGTGTGGTGAAAGATGGTGAGTGTGACAAAGTTGTGTGTGAAAGATGGTGTGGTGAAAGATCCCTGCCCGTCTCTCAGGGCTGGGGGGATGGCCTCGATACACTTGCATAATTATTGCCCCCAAATCGCGATTGGAGTTTGCAAACCTGTGTGCCCACTCACCTCGCTCTGCTCTATCCAAGGCCTCGAGGCGACCAAGGCGTACTCCCTTCAGGCAGAATGACTCTGCAGGACACAGGTACTTCTGGAGGACATCATAGCGCATCAGGACATACCTGGTAGTGCCCGATGTGGCAGACTCCGCATCATTGGGTGGAGGTTCCACCTTGGCCGCACCAGTCACAGCCACGGAGAGAGGTAGAGCCGCAACTCGCAGGGGGCCAGCAGCGGAACTTTCGCACCTGAAAAAGACCTCAGCTGCAAGATTCTGGTATAATCACGGTGCTGGATCAAAACTGGGGCCCGACAACTCATCGAGTCCAGAAATCTGTGAACGTCCCCGGATTGAGGATGAACACTGGGCCCTCATCACACGGAGTTCTATAGCTCTCAGAAATGCAATGATCATCGGCGCGAATGGGAAGTCACCTGCATCAGCCAATTGGCAGAAAAGGCGGACAATACTTCCAATCACGAAGATGACCAACCCACGTGGCGCAGTGCACTCCACGATCTTGTCGGCCACATGTGGGGCGCATTCATCAAGACCACGCTCGAAGTCATCGTCGATGGCAGCCAAAAACGCACGCTCCATCGCGAAGTCAATGACCTCTTGCAGCACATTGAAGTCGCCATTCTCAGAAGCACCCAAAAAGCTATGCCCCAAATGGAGAGCCTGCTTGGCTGTCTGAAACGCCACGGCCATCCCCGGGCAGTCAGCGGTTCCACAAGCCGAGCCAGCCACAGAGGAAAAACTGCACGGGATCGCAGGACGCCAACACGGGTCACCTGGGCAGTTCCACCACCATCGAAGATGCTGCTCATACTCCAAAAGAGCTTTGGTGAACATTGCCAGCGCAAACGAAAGCAAAACTCAGATCGGGCTGGGGTCTCCACTATTCTTGAGGCATAAAACTTAGGGTGGACTAAAAATGTGGTGCATGACAAGGCGGACTATGGGTAGAAAAGCAGACCCGCAATTGAAAAGAAACAAAGCTTCAGCAATCCACATCATCCCACGTCAGATGAAGAACATCTGGCAGTTTCTGATACGCACTTTTCTAATGCAGAGCGCCGCGCTCAGGAGTATTGAAAAACAGGCACGCCAGCGTATTGCTGGGCTTTTATCCATCCAGGTAAATGGAAATCACTTCAACAGCTCAATAGGTGAATTATAAAGAACAGCCTGGAAGCTGGCGGGGAAGTTCTCTAGGCACTGACGACACCAGCGTCTCTCGTGAACAAAGGCCTCCTCAACACTCTCCGCCGTCACCATTCTGGAAGCAAAGAATTGGTTCCAGGCACCTGCCGCCACTTACAAGACGGCAGAGGTGGCTCTCCTTCCCTCTCGGGAATCAAGGCATGCCAGCCACCCGTGGGAATCTCACTCCTGGCCAGCACCACAGGGATGCGGGCCACCCCAAGCTGGAAGGACTGGCGGTTGGCCAAGTCACGCAGCCACCACATCATAAGCTTGACGGTCTTTTTTTTGATGATCTTGTGAGGCTCGATCCGCCGCACAGAGCCAATCCAAGTCAACTGGTTGTCAAAGGAAGTCCCAGTGAGCATGGCCTTGATGACAGCAGCCCCAATACAATGGATGAAGATGCCTCGGGCGTTGGAAGCACCGCCTTCCAGATTTAACGCCAGTGCACAAGCACCTCACTCTTCTTGTGGGCATAAGAAGTCATGGGGAGCTGAAACACACAAGCTCCACGGGGAATAGTGCCACCCCGGGACACCAACGTCTCTGCAAGTGCAGTGATGCACGGAAGAATGCGGCCATAGATGCCTTGGGCAAAGGGCCGAGGATCACCGCCGGGAGCAGCTGGGTCTTCTTATAGGTGTGAATCACGGTTGCCGTGGCCAACCCGAGCTGGAACCCAGTTCGTCAAAATACCGGTCAGGTCAGACTCCCGATGTCTGTCATGAACTGCATAGCCCCGCATCTTAACCCGTGGGGCCACAGGGGCACCTCTCGCATGGTGCGGAGGGCGCAAAGGCTCTGGAAGAGGTAGAGGAGCACGACCTGGAGGTCCACCAGGACACCGCGACTCCTCCCCTCAACCTATTGATGAAGGCACTGCTCTTGGCCTGGCTACAACGGCGAACAACCTGCTCCGTCACGATCTGCTTGGTGGAGATCTGCTCGAAAGACGACAGTTGCATCCTCCTGGGGCAGTAGTTACCGTTGCTCCTCAAGCACCTGCTTAGCCTGTGCGGGTGAGATGTTGTGCCATGAACTGCACCTGTACTCAACCACCAGTGACCTCAGGCAAAGCCACATCAGAAGCTTGAGGGACTGGGCCTGCTGCTGTTTCGCCCTATGGTAACGCCAAGGAGTGATATTGACCCCTTTCTCCGTCGCGTCCAACCAATTGCCCCTGGCACAGGCGTGGGTAGGGTCCAACTCGCTCAGGAGAGACCAAGTCACACTGAGCTGACGCCAGCTCTTGCTGGTGATGTGTTTCAAGGCAAGGGAGAGGAAAAGCTGGCTTTTTGCCACCCGATGAGGGATCTCAGCCCGATCATCCAGTTGGAAGGCAATGGCTGCAAACCCAGGGGCAACTACTCCGCCACATTGGCAAAGGCCTGCCCAAAGTCGTGACCCTCAAACACTGAGAAACGGAGGCAGGACCAATAGAAGCCACATCGCCTCAGGCGTTGCTTCCCTCGCATGCACTCCCAAATCAGGCTGTGTTCAGTCATCTGGAGAAGAGGGGAACGCTGGATATGGGCCCAGCGAACACAACCCATAGCCACACACCAGTTGCCAAAAAGGCCCAACCAGTTGCTGTTGTCAAGGATGATGGCGTTCGCAATCGCGTTCTCCAGACCCAGGCCGATGGCTGACTTCGTGGCTTTACGCAAGGCCATAGCCAGCGTAAGGTCCAGCTGCAGGTATACGTTCTTAGTCAAAAATTGCAAGGTAGGGATGACCCGAGAAGGTGCTTTGCTATCCTGAACAAAAAGTGCCACGTCAGAAGCAGAGAGCTGACCAGCGCTCAGGGCCAGCAACTCTGTCCACTGTTTGGGGTCAAACCATGTTGAGACCACCTTCTTCAGAGTTTCGCCTTCATGGCAGAACTACGGTCACTGACTGAGGTACCATCAACTCAGTGCCGGGAGCACACAACTCTGCACTCTGCAATGTAGGGACTGGCAACACGCAAGGCCTCCTCCAAAGGCCTGCGATGCACCTCGTTGACTTCAGCCAATGGAGCCGCAGCCGGATGGACCCTTGTGCGGGGCATTGCGGCCTCCCGAGCACCCGGCAACACCAGGGGGATGGTCCGAGGTGGGACAGTTGAAGGTCTCGGTGTTGGTTGAGGCGCATGGCATGAGGCATGCCTTTTGCCGACTAACGGGCGTAAAGGTCTAACAGGAGACCTTTACAGACCCAGCTGCCTCCGTCTGGGCAGAAAGCCAAGCCTGCGCAACCGCCTCACCGGCTTCTTGCCTAGCTTCCTCATAGGTTGCGAAGAAGTACGCTAGGGCCGCTAGGTCACCCACCGACTCAAAGCCTTGCACCGCACACCACTCCTCAACAGAGGACATGTGAGGTACCAGGGCACACTCGGTTCACTCACAAAAATTCTAAAATAATGTATGGATAGCTATTTTGGATCATCCTTAAGCCAAAAGGCATCAAGGATAGATTTGGCACCACATGAATATGATGGACAGTTGCCTGCCATGATATATTTTTCAATATGCCAGTTTGCTGCATATGAATATAAATAATTATACAAATAGAATTACATATATAAATGCATAAGCTCATAGACTCATAGACTAATGATATGTAACTGTACGAGTGAGTGGTGTGTCGCTCCATGCTTTTGTTGGCTGTTCTTCCTTTAGGCCTATTGGCGGCAATTGTGTGAGTATGATGTGTTTTTCTTTATAATCCTAGGCTGGCGAATTTGAAGAAGGGCAGCATTGTTCTCACTTTTCCCTTTGGATCGCACTGATCGTGAGCTCCCTGCTTTTGCGTTTGTAGTTTGGTACTTGTTCACACTGTTTACCCCTTGGCTGCCCCAGTGTGTCCTAAGTCGCCCCAGGCATGTCTAGTTTGTTGCATTACCTGCTGAATACCTCTGAGCGTTAACACCTGCATGAAGCATCAAATCCGACTACACCGAACGCCTTGAAATCCTGTGGTGCACGCAATCACAGCACAAGAGCATGTGCATCATTAGCTGCAAAAAGTGACAAGGGCTTTAGAAGCAATTCGTTGACTTGATGCGGCCTGCCACATGTAGCCTTCCATGTTTGGATCCCATGACTTGCCCACGTCCCACCATTGGTTCCAGTTTGGCTGCTGCGCATAGCCTCCGCAATGGACAAGATCAATGCTTTGACTCACAGTAGATGAACAGGTTTGAGCTTCAACACAATTTCAATCCTGCGTGCTCGCCCTGGTTTGCCCACATCCCAGCCATTGCTCAGTAGAACTACTGAAGCATGGGATGGTCGTACAATTATTTTCCCTATGTGCTGTATGTTAAAGGTGCTAGAGCTTATGGCGGATGTGGCTGTACAAAGTAGCCAACGGAACGTTGCACCTAAGCTATGCTTGAGCTCAAGATGCTACGGAAAGTAGTGGATGCTGAGACATCTCCAGCTCAAGTCATTGGGGTTGACAAAAGACTCGGTAGCAGCGGTAGCATGAGAAGAATTGGAGTCTTGAAAATGACAACATGAAGAATTGTCAAGGAAGAGTTTCAAAAATACGTCAAAGAGTCGACACGGCAAGTCAGCACCTCCGACCCTCTGAGACAAATGCAACAGCTCGTCAGGATCCCAGAAATCAATGGACTCTCCAAAAGCCGTGCCCTTGGAGTCATGGCAATGGCAGTTTCAATGGTTTTGCTTCTCAGCACCGTGTAGCACCCCGTGCGCCCGATTGAGCTGTCTGACTTCTTTGGGCATGTACTTTCTCACCACCAAATCGCCAAAGTGCCGCATCATCTGTGGCACCTCAATCTCAACACTTGCATCCATTGTGGAATTGTGATATACAGTATATATATATGTGTGTGTGTGTATGTGTGTGTAAATATATTACAATTTTTTTTTCTCCCTCTCTCTCTCTCTCTCTCTCTCTCTCTCCTCTCTCCTCTCTCCTCTCTCCTCTCTCCTCTCTCCTCTCTCCTCTCTCCTCTCCTCTCCTCTCCTCTCCTCTCGTCTCCTCTCTCTCTCTTTCTCTGCTCTCTGCTCTCTCCTCTCTGCTCTCTGCTCTCTCTCTCTCTCAGTGTCTCTTCTCTCTCTTCTTTTCTCTCTTCTTTTCTCTCTTCTTTTCTCTCTTCTTTTCTCTCTTCTTTTCTCTCTCTGTCTCTGTCTC